GGAAGGTGTGATCCTGAGGGGAGAGCCCGAGATGGGGGGGGAGGTGATCCTGAGGGGAGGGGAGAGGCTGAGGAAAGGGGAGGCGATCCTGAAGGTGAGCGATGTTGAGTGGTGGGGGGGATGGGAGCCTGGGGCTGAGGGGACGAGGATGTTGGATGGAATGAAGTATCGGCGGGATTCAGGAGGAGGAGAAGGTGTTTGTCAGCCCTCCTGCCCTTAAACACGAGCCTGGCGTGGAGCTTTCCACGTGTGGCTTGTGCTGGGCTCCGCCAGCAATGGGAATAAACCCCCGTGGTTCTTAATAAAGTCGTTTTCCATCGGTACTGTGTTAGTACAGGTAGTAGGTAATAAAAAAATCACCCTGGAACAGCTTTGCCAGGGGTGCACTTCGCTCCTGACAAGGATTTTGGTTCTGATATTGCAGTCTTCTGTCAGAAAATACAGTAACCGTGTTATTGGTGTGTCTCAAGAACTCCCTCTTTAACCGTTTAATCTTCCTACAGACCTTGGGTTCAGGCAGCACTTTATTTTCCAGGAGGAATTTCTGTTTCACATAATGTGCTGCAGTTCTTGGTCTGGAGGCAAAAACCCAAGCAGGTTTCAAAATACAATAACACTAGATTTATTTAACCCTGAAATTACACTGTTATTCAATGTAAAAATTGTCTCTCGGTTTCGAGACTGAGCAGTGTGTTTTGACAAAGCCTCATACAAGTGAACTTGGATTCTGGGCTGTTTTGAGACTTCCAGGAAATCACTGTCTGTGCACAATTAATTCCGTGGGCAGGTGGGCAAAGAGCTTGATCCTGCGTCATCTTACCTGTGGGATAAATATATGGGTGAATATCACAAACACTGCAAAGCCAAACACCTCTGGGTATGGTTGTACAGATGATAAGTTCAGTGGGAAAAAGCAAACAGGGAAATCTTTAAATAAAAACTGCAGTGGAAATGCAGAGCTCTTTTAGTGTTTAGAGTCTTACACCCGGGCAGAGAGAGGGAAGGGGTTGGGAAGGGAATTACAACCTTGTCTGTATTGGAGCATTTTTAGACCTGTGTATCAATTTAGGGGCTGGGAAGTATAAGGTCAGATTCTTCACCTTATATTTTTCCAGAGATGTGTCTGAATCTCGGGACTGTGTGAGGAGGAATGGATGTTTTTCATCCTCTTTTCTCATAGATTTGAGTTGAATTTGGAATATCAGTGTAGAGGTGATGCATTGGTGGAATGTTCCCTGTCCATGGCTGGAACGAGAGGATCTTTAAGGTCCCTTCCAACCCAAACCATCGTGGGATTTTTGTGACTCCAGGCCTGATTCAGAATCCAGTGAAAGTGTCAGACTCCCAAAAATGGGAACGTGCTTTGGCCTGGGCAGTTCCAGCTCCTAATTTCCCCCTGGATTTTCAGCTGCCATGCGGTACTAATACTGGAGGAATGCACTGCAGGATTTGTTGGCTTCGGCTGGAACTCAGAGCACTTTTTAACCTGCACAGTTTTGAGTGTTTTGGAGCTGCAGGTGTGAGCCATCATCTCTGTCTGCTCTGTCACTCTGCCATCCATGAGGTCACCAGGGATGCTCGGTGGGAACCAGATTCCCGTGGAGAACCTGCCTCTCCGAGGGCCTGAGCATCTGGAATTAACCCCTCAGTTTGTGCTCCCTGTGCCCCATTGTCAAACTTCCATCAGATTTACAAACCCTGCTGGGAAAGTTCTGAGCTGAGCTGGGTGTATTTTGTGTGGTTTGTGCCTTTTTTTACGTGACTTTTTTTTTTTAGTTAGGAGATGAGGCATTTATGTGTTGCTTGCAGCAGCCTTTAGCTGTAAGGGAATAAAGCTGAAAGCACACAACTCCTGGAGCAAAAAGAGCTTGGATTTTAGTCCAGTCAGGAACACGACTGGGATCTCTGGATCTGTTTTAAACAGTAACAAGTATAAACTGGGTGGAAATAACCACATTTTTAATGTGTATAGGGACATACAGAGTGCAAACACTCCAA